TGTACCGAAGACTTGGTGTTGACGACATTCCCATCTTCCCCTCTTCTTTGTCTAACCCCACTCTTCTTCGTCTGTGTATGGTTGGGGACTGACGCATTTTTCTTGTGTGAGCGCCAGACCCCTTCACACCATGGAATGATGATGATGTATGTTTGGTCTGCATTGCAACATTGATTGTTTGGATCATTTGTATATTAGCCTTTCGCTGCGCTATCTTGTATTATGTGAGAGAGGTCGGTTCTTGTTCTGGTCTGCACCGTTACGGTAGGCGACAACTGACCATTGTAGTATGGCCCTGGGTAGCACGTCGTACGCGTACGCAGTGCGTACATGTACCTATTCCAGCGTACGTGTACGAACCCAAAATCGCACGTACGCATACGTAAGGGGGGAAAAAAAATAAAATAATAAAAAAAATAAAAAAAATAAAAAATTGAAAAACAGTATGTTGTGCCGAATAATGATACAAACAACATTTGCCTGGGAGTCATACCCGACTTCCCAACCAATCTTGATTTAAAAATAAAAAACCTTAAAAAAAACTTTAAAATAATAATAATAATAATAAATTATTTTGAAATAGTTTTTAAATTATTATGATAATATTACCTTTTTTTTAGTTTTCAATTTCTTACTCGAGTTTGATTGGGAATTCGGGAATGACTCCTGGGCAAAAGTTGTTTGTATCATGTTTCTGCATAACATATATTTGTTACAGAAGTTTGTTTTTATTTTTTCTGTTTTTTTCCTAATTTTTAAAATTTTTTATTTCAATTTATTTATTTTTTGTGTCTTTGATTTTTCACTCGAGTTTCGTGTAGATTTTGGCGATGAGTCTCAAGCAAAAGTTGTTTGAAATATCATTTTTCCTAACATACTTTTTTAATAGATTTTTTGATGACGTTTTTTTTTTTTTTTACGTATTCCCATGTACGGGAGTATGTGTACGCGCGTACGTCTGTCTCTTATACACATCTAGATGTGTATAAGAGACAGCCCCGTGTCGTTTCAGCCTGAAAGCCTGAAAACAAGGGCCTACAGGCCCTGTGTCGTTCCGGCCTGAAAACAAGGGGCTACAAGCCCTTTGTCGTTTCAGCCTAAAAAAGGGCCCTCCAGGCCCTGAGTCTTNGAGTACACGTACGCCGTGCAACCTAGGTATGGACTTACATGTGGCTGAGTGAGAGTTTTGCTTAGTTTGAGTTTCAGTTTGATACGTATTTGCTTTAGTTGCTCGCTACGTGCTAGAGCCATAATAGTTAGTTCAATTCATGCATTTTCCGAGTTGACTTTTTTTTACTTAGCTCAATTAGTTCAATTCTCGTATTTTCTGGGATCATTTATTTTATTTGGCTTCGTATAAATTTTGGAAAGTTACTTTCTCTACGGGAAGCACTGCCGAAATTTCTACAAAACCAAGTAGTTAGAAAAAAAACTCAACTTTTGTCTAAATTTTATATACGGCTTAGTAGAAATCTGGAAAGTCTTATTTTCTAGGGGAAGTGCTGCCCAAATTTTTGCTAATTCAGGGAGTTAGACAAAATTTGACTTTGGGACGTCAGGATCGTTTCAGATTTCGTATTTAGCTTTGTGTAAATTTTGGAATGACACTTCTCTAGAGGGAGTGTTGCCGAAATTTCAGCAAATCTAAGGAGTTAGTTAAACTTTGTCTTGACAAGAACTCAAGTTTTATTTCGAGTTTTTATCTGACCTAGTATAAAGTCTACATCTCTAAAGCAGATGCTGCCCAAATTTTTACCGATTCAAGGAGTTAAACAAAATTTGACTTTCTTGAGTTAAAGGTCATTTCAGTTTTCATATTCGAGAGAGTATAAATTCTGAGAAGGCACTTTTCCTACGGGAAGCGCTACCGAAATTTTCTTAGTTTAAAGGAGTTAGATTATATTATGATAGGAAAGATTCTGGCAATCCATCCTGTATAGGGAAGATGCTGCTAAAGGTCCTAATTTCCTTGGGCACTTGCTTAGAGGTAGACTTAGACTTAATTATGGGAAGATTTTGAGTGAGAACGTGAAATGGAGCTTCATTCTCCATACACTTATAGTCTAGCCTTGGGCATTGACCTGTCTTGTGTTACAGATCCTCTTTGAGCATTTCGATCCAAGATTTGGCTAGATTCAGCTTGATCCCACGAGCATCATCTTTTGTTATCACTGATAACAAGTCGTTTGTTGATTCGTCAGTTTATGACTCAACTGTAATTCACTCTCGCTATCAACCTATTTAGCCCCTGTGGTTTGAATTGTTTCGTTGGGTTTTCACCCGGACTTTATTCAATGGCCATTTAACAAAGATACTAAGTATTTTATTTTGGAAGGTTAGACAAAGGTTGAGATCTGTATGGCTAAGGCGAGGGGTGTGAGCGCAGAGAGTGGTTGAAGTTGACCCCGTGTAGTGCATGGACTTTTGCTTGAATCTTTGATGTGATTGCAGGCATGACTGTGGTTCAAACTCTGGATTTGACTTGCCTGCGATCACATATATATTTATGAAGGAAGTCACATTGTGATTGTGAAGTGATCGTGCCCTGTTTATAACCTTCTATATGTGTACATCCCTAGTATCCACACAACCTATTGCGAGAGCGTGTGAGAGTTGAGCTGATTTTGCGTTTGAGCAAAAAAGGGGACCCCCTTTTTTACCCTTCGCTTTTTAAAATTATTATAGTTGGACGTTGAAGTCCGTGACAACCGTCAAAGTCAAACCCCTTGACTTCTCTCCAGACCCTGGATGATGGAGCCCGTCTCCAATGCCATAAGTATTAACTGCCACGACATGTCAAAACCTGTCTACCACCCACTCTCCGTAGGGTGCAGAAGAAGATGTGGCTCTCAACCGCCTTGACGGTTGTCTAGCGTCGAGAGATTAACCCCTCAAGGCGCGTGTCAGCCGACACTTGAGTGTCGAACGTGACTCTGTTATGATCCTGGCCAATTTTGAGATACACATCCATCAGATAGTACAATGTCGTCCAATTGCAGAAAGAAATGAATGAACTTGAGAGGAGAGAGAGGATTAGGGGAAGAAGAAGAAGTAAGAGAGAAGAAGAAGATGATGTACACCAGCATAGACAAATGACAAGGCTCTTCTTCTTCCCCCAACAATCTTCTCCTCCTTATCTCCCCCTTCTCTTATTCACATAAGAAATAATAATACAATGTTGAATGGCTGATCCAAAATCAATGTTCGCGTCCCTCTTCTACTGCAGGTATCACTTGAGGTCCACCATAGCCACGGCCGCCTCCTCCACTCTTCACTTTCATAGGCCGAGGCTATGGCGGACTACTAGGCCTTGCCCAAATGCCCAAAGGACAACCCAAAGCAACTATGGCTGCTCTAGCTCAGGCCGCCATGCCCAACCCTGCCTTGAAGCTTCTTGGTGTGGCTCTCCCCAGTTGAGGATTCCCTGCTGCAGCGCCCACCAAGGTGATGAAGATGACTGCCACCATAGCCAGGTAAGTACCCCTGGTGCTCCTCCCCCTTCCCTCCTTCCTCCCTCGTGTCCTTCTCCTTCCTCCCCAGCAGTGCTGCTCCAGCATAGCGTTGCTCCAACCAGCGCTCCACCAGTGTGTCGTCAAACTTGCACACCGAAAAAGAGGCCGGACTCTCCGCCCGACCGAAAGATATAGCGGCCTGCTTTGCCTCTTGGGCGGTGACTTCCAGGCCGCTCGGCCTTCCAGGCAACCGGTACCTCCTCCCTTTCGGAGGGAAACATCATTGCAGACTCTGATATTGCCCGTACAAGCCCTAGACCCAGACTGGTTGGACTGGTATCCACCTAGACCTAAGTGGCGTCCCAAAAGATAGTGTTTCCAGTGGTCCAACACCATACACAAAGCATAGAGCTCGCGCATGTAGGTGGAAGTGGCTACCTTTACGCTGGGCATGCGTTTGCTGTAGTACTCGAGCGGCCGCGAGCCATCGTCGTCGTCTTGCTGCAGCATTGCGTTGATTCCATACTGGCTCGCATCCGTATTAGCTACGAATGTTGGTTTGGGATCTGCAATGCGAAGTACTGGGTAACTTACCAAGGCTTCTTTTAAAGCTTGAAAGGCGTTCGTGCACGCGGTATCCCAAGAATAGGGAACATTCTTACTTATCAATCGAGACAATGGTCGCACAACAATGGAGAAGCGGGGTACAAACTTCGGATAGTATGACGCGAGACCAAGAAAAGAGCGCAACTCGTGAAAATTCACGGGCTGAGGCCAATTGCTTATGACATCCACCTTGGTTGCCTCAGGCTCTAGGCCTGCAGCAGACAACCGGTGCCCAAGATAGATGACACTATCCTTCCCGAACTCAGATTTCTCTAAGTTGAGATGGAGTTGCGTCTTCTTGAGGATGGTCAGTACTTCCTCAAGGTGCTTGAGGTGCTCCTCCATGGACTTGCTGAAGAATAGTATGTCATCGAGGTAGACCACCATGAACCGGCCAATCTGTTCGCGGAGGACTTTGTCCATGAGGCTTTGGAAGGTGGCCGGTGCGTTCGTGAGACCGAAGGGCATTACGGTAAACTCGTAAAGCCCATCGCGTGTTTTGAACGCAGTTTTGTGCTGGTCCGCAGGATCGACTTCAATCTCGTGGTAGCCAGACTTGAGATCAATCTTGGAGAAGACCTTGCATCCACCTGCGGCGTCAAGCAAGTCATCTATTCGGGGCAATGGATAGGCGTTCTTTCTTGTGATGCGGTTTAGGCCGCGATAGTCAATACACATGCGGAGTTTGCCTCCTTTCTTTGGAACAAACAACATAGGAGCACCAAATTCAGATTCGCTAGGCTTGATCCACCCCTTGTCAATCATCTCATCAATCTGTTGCCGGAGTTCCTCCAACACGCCGGGTCCCATTCGATATACGCAGCCCTTTGGAGGAACAACACCTTCAACCAACTCGATGGTGTGTCGAACCGATCGCGTGGGGACTCCATGTGGCTTGGCCAGAACTTCCAGAAACCGATCAAGGAGGTTTTGGATGTCTGGTGGGACCGATGGGGGTGGGGGATCAGCAAAGGGATCCCCTAGATCCGGTCGCAGGTCGCGTATAGAGGCGATCGAATCTGAAGTAGGATCATTTGGACCATTAGAGGGTAGAGAAATAGAGGTGTTGGGAGTAGTAGTACTAGAAGTAGTATCACTAGCTGAAGTAGTAGTGGAATTCACCGCAAAAGTAGATGGCACATGGGCAGGACGAACAAAGGCAACATACAACTGTTCGTCCTCCTCGTGCTTGCGCCATTTCCTGCAGAACTTCATAGCATTCAGAAAAGTCACTGGGATTCGTGCTTCTCATCCAAAAGGATGGGAAGCTCGTTCCCTTGTGCATCTTTGATCATGAAAAGTGACTCCTTCCACTTGGTCCATTCGCATTGGGACTGCAGCTAGCCCAAGCCAAGGACAACGTCGAAGGGGCACTTGTCAAGGACATTGAAGTTTAACGCGTGAGTGACAGTTTTGTCTTTGTCAAAGGTAGTGCGCACACCTTTGACTGCATGCGTAGAAGAGAACTTCTTTGTTGCCGACTTGGGTTCGACAAGGGTTCTGCAAGGCCACTTGCTTCATCCCCAAGCCCACTTTGCGTACCTCGTGAGGTGACATAAAGTTAGCCGTAGCACCACAGTCAACCAAAACACGGAGATAGCGGTGGTTTATGAGAAGTTTGAAGAAGATCAAGTTCACTGTCCCCTGGGCACGCTGCTGTTTCGTCTCAGTCCAATGCTCCAAGTGGTAGTGAAAATCGACCGTCCCAGACTCCTCCCAAGACTCGACATACAAAACGTTACTCACCTCAGCCTTGTGTTCAGCAGATGATTGGGCTTCAAGGGAGGACTGCTGATTTGCATCAGATTCAGTCTCCCTTGCTGTAGAGTTTGCTAAAGTTGACTCTACGCCCGGGTCTGGTTTCCCTGGAGCCTGTAGCAATCCTGTACTTTGTGATTTGGTTTCTGGGAATGCAAGCATACCCTCTTCTTGAGTCTACCCCGCCAATCATTTTCAGTGATCCGAAGGTCGACCCATGGTTAAGTGGTCGCATCCTCCGGTTTTCCTGGGATCTTGACTCCCTTGGGAAGTTGGACATAGTTCTTCCCTGCATTCCGATTCGGTCCCTTTGCATTGATAGTCTTTTTAAAGGCAGTAAATTTTCCTTCTTCTTTGCTCGTATCAGAATCATGGGCTGAAGAACAAGTTGTAGCATAGTCCTGTTCCTGGTCGTCATCAAGAGTGGGGTCATCTGCATCGGCTTCTTCTTCGGCCTCCAGCAGGTCATGCACAGCAAAACGGTTGCTGCCTTTGAACCGCCTACCGCCCATGGGCTTTTTGCTGCCTGCTGTGGTGACGAGGTCTACAGCCTCAAGACTGACTATGTCCTTCATTAGAGTGAACCAGTCAGTGTACCCAATGAAGTCCCTGCCTAGGCGATTAGTAAAGTTGGGGGGAACCGCGCCCTTGACCACATCCAAGCAAGATTGAGCAGTCGGTTCCAATCCGGGTGTAGCGAGCATCTTGCTAAGGTAAGTCTGCAGGCTTTTCATGGAGCCCGTCCACTTGTTGCGCTTCATTTTGTCAAGCTGGATTCTTGCCCTTGCTGCAGCATGTGGATCCAAGTATTGTGAAATGAGGAGTTCTTCGTGGGAGGCAACCAGGGGGGTCTTAAGCCACCTTGTTAGTTCTATTTTGGGAATCCCAACTCGCGTAGCTTGGACCTCTAAGAAGCCCCTCACGACCGGCTCAACATTCATTCCCATGATCACGGACTGAGTCTCAGGTTGAGTCCCCAGAACCTCGAAGCATGCCCTCATGGAGCTGATCCAGGATTCAATGTCTTCTTTGCCGTCGTACTTAGACGTTATTTGAACCGCCTTTCGGTCCACATAGGACCGGCGTAGCTGGGACCAGCACCCGCTGGTTCCAATCTTGGGGCTGCAGCAGTTGCAGAGTTTCCAGCCTCGTTGCTTGTCACAGCAACAGCGGAATCTGTACCTGTTGCAGGTCCCGAGGGGGTTGCCATCACATTCAAGGAAGAAGATACAATAAGAGAGGCAGAGGTAGTTTCAATTGCAGCTTCGGATCCAGGGGGTAGAGGAAGAGGGTTGGCCACTTGGGCTTGTCGCAGCTCAGCCACCTCCGTTGTCAATTCGTGGTACTTGCGGGTCATACCAGTCAGATCATCTTGAAGTGTTCGCAACTTTGCGAAGACTTCAGCGATCTCAGTGGTCTGCTCTTCAAGATTCCTGACTTGAACAAGGGCGGTGAGTATAGACTGCAGTTGTTCCCCACACTGCTCCTCAGTCAGTGAGGGAACAGTCTCTAGGACGACCACCTGACTTTTCAGCAACGACTCCTTCCTCTCCTTCTCTGCCTCCTGTTTCCTTTTGGTTGCACTATCTAAGAGTGCTTGTAGGTACGGTTTTTCCACATCACTGGCTACATCTAACAAGGCCCGCCATTGCACTGAAGTTAGTTGAGCCATTTTTGGATCGTTAGTATTGACAGGTGGGTTAGAGAGTCGCCAATCAGCAAAAGAATCAATGAGACTCTCAAGAGGTTCACTCCCGTTCTCACTTGGACGAACACTCCTTTTCCCAGTTTTTGCCCACTCCAGTCGGTCACTTTCCTTCTCTCCCTTCTCTCTTTCCCTCCTCTATCTCTTCTTTCCGGCGACGGGTCTCCATGGGCATCGGAAATGAACTCAGAAAAACAGACTTGAAAGCTCAGACAAGAGAAGGTAGAACTCCTAGCCGGAGCGGCATTTCGTTTGAACGAAGAGAAAAGCAAACCAAAGAAGAAAAAACAAGTTCAAACGAGAGGTATGATCCAACGACCCAGTCTGATCAGACTGCATACGAGGTCCTCTCGAGTCCAGTCTGACCAGTTCCATGACCGTACAACAAATCAGACAACGAGTGACTAAATGCAACAATCGAGAATTGAGTGGTGTACAGGGTGCGAGTCAAGCCATAGACAGTGCAACCAAAAGACATGTGAAACGTCTCAGCCGAGATCCCCTCGGCAGTGGGTGTCCTAACCCAGAAGAAAGAACTCCGTAACACAGTCAGAAGACAATGGGCTGATGCCTAACCGATTTGGGCCAAAGGGCTCTTCTTGTTTGGGCCTGGTCCCACTGGGTTCCAGAGGTCCCACGTAGGTCGCGGCCAGGTCCCAACCAAGAGTAGTCCCTCATGGACTTGGTTCAGTTCTACTGTACTGAAAAACGAAATTTCAACTTCCGGCAGAACCTACAGACTACAACCGTTCAGAGATGAAAAGACAAAGCATTGTAGAAAGATTCGACAGTTAGATCAAGATACTTCATTTTCCATCCATCAGGTGAGTAGGTAGATCACATGCATTCAGTCACACAATCAAGACCACAAAGGAGTAGGAAAAGAAACCCAGAGTACCCCAACAGGACAATCAATACCATGCACACATTCATGGGCATCCCGTAGGTGCACGACACTTACCTGAGTGGCCTTGACCTTCGAGATGAATAGAACTCACCCCCCTCTCATGTGATCCTCCTGACCCCTCTAACGCTACCCGTACAGTAGTGTCCTATCTCATAGGAGGGTCTAACTCCAACAGCAAAGTGCAACACCGGATCCCCCGTTGATGCTGAAGAACAAAGTAGCAACTTGCAGTCCGTAGATGCTGAGTGGCCGCTGACCATCAAGCTCGCCTACTTGAGGGCAGCCCTTGAGTTGCCAAGTGTCTCCCTTGAATCAGATTCCAGGTGCGAGTGCCTCTCACTGTGGCCTCTCTCAAATCGCCGCATGAAGTCTCCTCGAAATGTCTCCCCACCCTAATCTCACTCTCAAGCAACTTGGTTTAGGTTCAACGTCGACCCTCCGTGACCTAACCAGGTGGCGGCAGCTTCCCTCAACCACGCTGCCCCTCTTCCCTTCACAAGCCAACCCTAACCCTAAGTGTTGCCCTCAACCACTTAGGTTAGGGTTAGGGCAGCAAAGTCAACTCTCACCAGCAAGTAGAATCCGCTCTGGCCAATTTCGAGATGCACATCCATCAGATAGTACAATGTCGTCCAATTGCAGAAAGAAATGAATGAACTTGAGAGGAGAGAGAGGATTGGGGGAAGAAGAAGAAGAAGTAAGAAAGAAGAAGAAGATGATGTACACCAGCATAGACAAATAACAAGGCTCTTCTTCTTCGCCCAACAATCTCCTCCTCCTTATCTCCCCCTTCTCTTATTCACACAAGAAATAATAATACAATGTTGAATGGCTGATCCAGAATCAATGTTCGAGTCCCTCTTCTACTGCAGGTATCACTTGAGGTCCACCATAGCCATGGCCGCCTCCCCCACTCTTCACTCTCATAGGCCGAGGCTATGGCGGACTACTAGGCCTTGCCCAGATGCCCAAAGGACAACCCAAAAGCAGCTATGGCTGCTCTAGCTCAGGCCGCCATGCCGAACCCTGCCTTGAAGCTTTTTTTGGTGTGGCTCTCCCTAGTTGAGGACTCCTTGCTGCAATGCCCACCAAGGTGATGAAGATGGTTGCCACCATAGCCAGGTAAGTACCCCTGGCGCTCCTCCGCCTTCCCTCCTTCTTCCTCCCTCGTGTCCTTCTCCTTCCTCCCCAGCAGCGCTGCTCCAACCAGCGCTCCACCATTGTGTCGCCAAACTTGCACACCGAAAAAGAGTCTGGACTCTCCGCCCGACCGGAAGATATAGCGGCCTGCTTTGCCTCTTGGGCGGTGACTTCCAGGCCGCTCGGCCTTCCAAGCAACCGGTACCTCCTCCCTTTCGGAGGGAAACATCATTGCAGACTTTGATATTGCCCGTACAGGCCCTAGACCCAGACTGGTTGGACTGGTATCCACCTAGACCTAACCTACAACTACTGGGCCTCTAAAAATGCCACTTTTGTCTTCTTCTGCTCGGCCTCCAGTACCCGCACATCTACCCCTTCAGGGTGTGGTACTGGCCTACCTGCTACTTGAGTGTTTTTCCTGCTGCAATCCCTCAATGTCACAGCCACAGGTAAGTATCGTCCCTGAGGGCCCAATGAACGAGCAAGTGCCCTTGCGGGCCACACACACACTCAAGCCAACCAGCACTCAAACAGGCACAACCACACACACACTCAAGCCAACCAGCACTCAGACAGTCATGCAGTCCAGCAAGCGTGCTCACACAGACTTAGCAGCAAGCGGGAAACTCAGCAGGGCATTTAGTCTATGGGCAAAACTCAGAAATTAGTTGTGTTTCAGTCCATGTTTGGACGGGTCATCACAACTCTCGAGACCACTAAGGGCCGCGTGATTATGGGTACTACATAGTACGCCATCACTGCGATTGCTTGAGTATTCATGCATGGCCAGTCGATATGAGGAAGCTTTGCGTCCGTGCTGTTTTATCTTACGTCTCGCGCGCGGCAACTAACCGATTTATGTGTCAAAAGGTTATGGGTTGGATACTAAATTGACTAGGAGTGTTTTCTTTTGTGTGAGTAATCTGGATTTTTGCTTTACCGTGGCGTAGCGCGTGGTAAGAAGGATGCGTCCTAGTCGACCGACGTCGAGTCGCGCTTGGGACTTCAGCCCCCTAGTGGGTCATTTCGTGTACGGGTCCGATAGAGGCATGAGACTGCGCGTAGCCCGTATGCTGCAACATACAAGAAACGCCCTCCGCTGGCTCACGTCTTCGATTGCAACTGATTAACTTTCATACTGTGGACTGGTAGCTCGGCGGGGATAAGGTGGAGGTAAGTTGTACCTCGCGTGGCCCTATTTTGTCGTAGCGGTTTACGAGAGGTATGGCTGGCACACTCTGCTGGAGCGGTGATGGAAGCTCCATTGCACTGTGATAAAGGATAAAGTCCTGATACAAATCCTGCGTGACGCGGTCGAGTGGGTCCCCCTACGGGATCGATGCGCCCGACACCGCACTTGTCTCGTACTAGTCCCCGCCATTAGTATCGCCGGTGCTCCTGCTGGTCCAGGTGCGAATTTGCGATTATTTTTATGTGAGCTCACGTGGCCCCCGACACTACTCCCCATATCGTACCCCATTTTATTTGGAACTCCCTAGTACCAGGCAGTCCCAATTTCCTCCTCCGGATACATCCAAGTGTGCCGAATATTCTTGGCCACATGATCTTGATTTTGCGGTCACCATTCATCGCCGCAATTGGTTCCCACGCTTGAGGCCCTCTTTTCAATGTTGTGAGGGTCTCAAGGCTCATTTTCCCTTAACCTTCACACTCCTTTGTCGTCCGTTAAATCTCGGAGTGCAATGGTGACCATTTTCCTAGTCCCATTTCCCCCATACTTGCCTCAAACTGAAACAAAATATAGGGCGCCACATCCCCAACTGCATCCGGACCCAATATTGGCTTCTGATGTACTTGAAACATGTGTTGCTCTACTTTTTGTGATCCGTTGCATCACGACCTACTTGTTTTATTTCGATTTTCTCTTTGAAAACATCCTAGGATGAATCCGGTCACAAAATGCACCTAAAACATGTGTTTTCTTATGCTCTAGGTGCCCGTTTTTGTCCATGTTTGTTCCAACTGCATCTAGACTTTATGCAGTCCAATTCAAGATACCTAGACCTCTTTTGTGGAGGGGCAAGTTGGCCATGATGTGGCGGCTTGCCATTTTTCCTACCTCGCCCATTCTCCCTCTAGATCTTTTTCTCCTTACCTTTGCTGACCGTTTTCTTTCGGGACACACTAGAACCTCATTTTCTTGGTTCAGTGTACCTGGGCGCTCCAAAACTAAGGCCCTTGTGATCCGTTGCATCCCTCTTGGGTCCCTTCTCAATTTCAAGGGCTATAGGCCTCAAAATTGAGACTCCCTCTCTTATTTTCTAGACTCCCTCTCTTATTTTCTAGTCGCCTTATATTTTGGCATTCGAAGG